CCTTTGCCAGTAAAGGCTGAGGCAAAGAAGTCATTCAAGAAGCTCAGTCTTCTCCAAATCCAGGGTAGCCAGTTCTGATAGCTCCTGGAGAGGGCTCACATTGTCCCTAGTCTGTCTTATTTGCAATGTAACTATAGAATCTCTTCCTGTTATCTTTCACATCCCTACCCAAGTTTCAATGTAACTGGGCCTTAGCTTTCCCAACCTGGTCCCTAGATTCTTGGATAACAACCCTCTATTCTTCCAGACCACCTGTCCTTGCTTCCACCTTTTGTAAGACCCTTTTTTCCCCTCAAATTTTCCTCAGCAGCTCCTTATCTATCCATGGAGGTCTCCTGGCCCTTCTGCTGCACTCCCTAAAATTTTCCCAAGAGGAGATGCACACACACTGCAGCACCTTCAGGTCTTATCCCAGCTCTGAAGCACTGCAGTGGGGCCAGGAGAGCGTCCCTGCTCTTCCCATGGGTAAGGAAATGATGTTCTCCCACCCACCCTCTGCACCAACACCTAGAAACCTGAACAGAGACAGGCAGTGACTACCAGAAACAAGGGATTTACGTTTCCAAGTAGAAAACCTCTCCCACAACTCTTTAAAAAACAGGTGTATTTTAGGTTCTACAACTGAAGTTTCTTTAGGAAGTGAATGATCTGTGCTGTGAGGATGCTCTGGAGTATCTCCTGCTGCTATTTTACCCCCCAACAAAAAGATTAAAGAAAATAAAATATAAAATAAAATAATTAGAAGAAAATAAAGTTCTCCAGACAAGTTCTTCAGCTACGTATCACCTGGCCCTTGCTCTTTACAACCTTTCTGGGAAATGTTTCACATATTCATTAGACTTCCCACAACTAATTGTAGTATTTGCATTTTTTAATTACACATGCGCTGAGTGGCGGTCTCAAGAAGTCACTGATGGTGGCTGACAGCCTTCCTCACTGTGTGCACTGACTGACCTCTGTGCTTGTGCAGATGACTCCTATGAATTGCTTAACAATGATGTCTGTGGTTTAGGTCAGTTTGTTCTGGTTTGTCCCTCATCTTGAAGAACCGGCCCAGGCTGTCTTGGTCACTCCTTTCTTATCTTCATACCCGGTTGTCTCCGGAGGGGTGAACCTCCCCATCTGTCACGGTTACTCCTGCCCTATCGGCAAAGGCTACCCTTGCTTTACACATGCCCCAAGGCGGCATCAGCCCTCCTTGCTCTCACAGAGCGGTCCCAAGTTACAACTCAGCATTTAGCTCATAGAAAACCACGGCGACACCGGCCCGGGGAAGGGTCCGCCATCCCCACCCGGTGCCCTAGCACAGCTCCCATGGGTCCCGGACCCCTACGCCTTCGGCTTGCCGCAGGCCGCACTGCTGTGGGAGCGGCGCATGCGCCGACAGCTGGCTCGGGCGGGGAGGGGGGGCGGGGGGCTCGGCGCATGCGTGCGGTGAGGGGTGGGCGGCTGGAGGCGGGAGGGCGGTCCGGGGGGGGGGGGGCGTTGGAAAAGGAGTGAGTGTTGGTGGTGAGGCCGCAGCTCTGCGGAGGGTGCTGGTGCCGGCCCTCGGGTTGGCTCTGGCCCGCGGCGGCTGCGACGAGGCGTTGGTTGGTGACTGAGAGCCGCCGGGGTGAGGTGGTGGTAAGGAAACAGGGCTTAAGCCGTGCCGTGCTGGGGGGAGAGGCAGTGCGGAGGGCCGGCTTTGCCCGTCAGAGGGAGGCTGCTACTCCTTGTGAGAAAGTGTCCCGTCTTCAGTTGGGTTCGTGACTGCGCTTTCCGAGGGGACTTGCGTCCCAGAGGACTGTGCTTGTAGCCTTTTAGAAGTACAATTATTAGGGAATTCATCCCTGTCAGCAGGAAAACTGTCCTCGCTTCCTTTTCTGTCTGTTAGACGGAGTAATGATCTGCAACACGGAGGCCGTTCTGGTCATCGGCTTTAACATACCTAAAAACTTTGAGTTCTGATGCCGGAACGGACTGGTTGGATGTGCCCTGCATTGCTGGTAGAGGCTGCCTGGGCTGTGTTTCAACTGCAGTGTCCTCTGGTCTGGAGACAGCCAGCCGCTGGGTGAGAGCCGTAGCTGCTGAATGGTCTAACCTTACATCAGCTGGCAACAGAAACGTGTAAAAAAGGCTTCATGAGCCACTCCGAGCTGTGAAGGTTTCTGCTAATGTATCAGTGACTTACTGTCACCGTTACTGCACTCCAAGCGTTCTGCATTATTGCTAGCTGTAGGAATCGGAACGTCATTAAGGTGTAAGCTGAAGACTGCATTCAGTTTAACCTTTGTACCGTAGTTACCTGTCGTCTCGTTTAACTGAGTGAATAGCCATCATGACTGCTCCTTGTTATGTAACTTAGGAGGATATATTTTATGGTATCCTGCTTGCGCTTTCTGATCTAACTCAGTTCTTTAGTATTGGTGTGCTACAGAGCTACCTGATTGTGGGTTGATTGATGTTGTCCCCCCATGTTTCTACCTTTTTATTAATGTTTCTTCTCTTGAATCAACTTTTTTAATTGCCTTCCCAGGTTATTGTAAGTTTTCTTCATGGTCACTTTTGCCCAGCTGTAATGTCTATTGTGTTAAATTCTCCTGAGCAGTTAACTTTAGGTAGTTCAGGTAGGACTTTCGAGAGCAGTATTAAGTAAGAATTTAAGTATATTACTTAAAAGAAAGACCAGAGAAAAAGGCCCCCAAACTTGTTCTAATTGAATTTTCCATGTCTCTTGTATGTCTCTGGCTTGGAACACAACTGCAGACAAAACTGCATTTTTTGGTTTGCTTTTCAGTGTTCAAGTGTCTGTGTTTTTAACATGATCAAAACTTTAAACCAATTACACATTTATTCAGCAGATGATGTCACATGACACTGAGTGGATATGGGCTTCCTGGGTCTTCCTGTTCTGGCAGGTGACCACCAGCTCCTCCCACTCTTTGCAGCTCTCTTCAGCAACTGATAAGTTTCTAAAAGGAAGAGGGAAGAATCCATATACCCAGCATAGCTTCTGCCCATTGCTGTCTGAAGGTGTGCAAGTACATGTGTTCAGTATGTGCTTCTTCTCCTGGATGCAGTAACGGTGTGGGCTGTAGTTAAGCAAGGGGTGCTGTGAAACCAGCTATGCTAAAGGTTGTTCCAAAGTCAGTCAGTGAAACACACAGCACGGGGAGGGCAAAAATTGCTGAGTCAGTGTAACATGCATGTGTAAATACACGTATACGCAGTGTACAGGTGTAGGTATGTGGGTGTACCTGTGGGAGATACACATGTACGCACAGATATGGTCAGGTTAGTAAAGTCCTGTGTGTGTGTAAAGTAAAACTGCTCGAGGAACCGTGAAGAATAGGACTTAATGCTGTGCCTACTTGCCTGGAACCTGAGCTGGGCTCTTGTGAAGTTGGATGCAGGAAGGTAGAAACACTGTTACTGTATGTGTATGGACTGAAACGTGTTGAACGGGTCTGAAATGGTCAGGATTGGAACTTCTATTGTTTTTGAACTTTGTATGTTGCCCAGGGTGATTTCGCTTAAAAAAAGGTAGGAAGATGGGAGACAGATTCATCAGCAGGGAGCAGCAGAGGCTAACTTCATGTGGAGTCTGGCATAGCAGTCCTGCATTTTTAGGCAGCTCTCTGGTGCTGCTGCCATTTGGAGTGGCAGTTCCTGGCCTTCATGTGCTTGGTGGTGAGGGATTTTGCTGCTGTGTCTGAGCTAGAGAGGATTGAGGAGGACAAGATCACTTTGTCCTGATCTACTGATTCCACTCATGTTGTACACTAGCTGCTGGAGTGTTCAGATGAGGTGAAGATGAGGTGTTTCAGGCACATGAGCATGCTCAGTGTTAGAACTTACACCACTGGCTTTGACAGCAGCAGGGTTGGTCTCGCGTTGTCCGAGAGCTGTCAGGCTTAGGTCCGCAGTCGTAGTGGAGAGGTTTCTGTGGTGGAACTGTCGCTGCGATGAGTGAGCATCTGTGAGAGGAGCGCCTGCCCAGGAGCACAGACGCTGCCGGCAGCACTCCGGCTTCCCAGCATTCTGTGAGCATAGCTGGCAGGCCCTGGAGAAGCACTGGGTGTGCGCACACCTGTGAGCTGAGAGGTGGGAGGGCTTTAGGTAGCTCTGGCACCCGCCTTGAAACCGCCTCCTGCCATGCGCTGCCTGGCTTTCCCAGGCAGGAGCCCTTGCTGGCAGGTAAATCTTCTGAAGCATCGCTCCAGCGCCTTGTCAGCCTCTGGCACTGTGAAACGTGCTGTCAGAGATGAAGCAGCAGGCTGCTTGCACCTTTGCCGTGGTGGTGGGCAGCATTTCTCAGGATGGGGCAGTGTCAGCACTGGCTCTGCGACACTCCTGCTGTGTGCAGTCCCACTTCTCGGCTGTGGGTTTCACTTCTGTTGGGTTTTTTCTTTGAAGAGGCATCCGTGGAGGTGAGGCATCATGCACCTGTGGTAAGATGTGGCATGGCCTGTGTGCATGTGGTTTCTATTGAAGAGCTGACATGTCCCCATGGTCACTGGCGCAGAGATGTTAGTTTGTGTGAGAGAAGAGCTCACTGCCAGTTTGTGGTGGTGAGTCACCCGGCATCACTGTGGGGCACCAGTGGAGGGAGCTGGGCACCAGGATGGGGTGGCGGGTCCCTGACCCACTTCTGGTAGCAGTCTTGGCCCTGCAGGCAGTGAGGTTGGCTAGTTGCCTTGTAGCCCTTCTCCCCTTCTGGCCACATGGTCTGTTTTGACTGGCCAGCAGGGCCAGCCCATGCACAGGGGCTGGTGCTCCTTCAGCTGCTTTTTCCACCCATGGCATGCCCCATATGTCTCATACCACCCTATGCTTGCATGGCAGGACCAGGATTCTGCAAGTCTACCCCAGAAGTATCAAAGCCTGCAGATGAGTCACTGAACTGCTGAACCCTTGCTTGTCTGGGGAGGGAGGTTGTGTAGTAAAAGTCAGTATTTTTTAGTCTGTCTAAAAATGCCTTCCTTTTTTTCCTTTTGGGGTGGAGAGGCCTATATATGAAGATGCAGGAGGCTGAGCTTATTGCAAAAACACTGCGAGCTGTTCTTCATCCCTTTAAAAATGGCGTACCTTTGTCAGAGCTTCAGGGTGAATACAAATCGCTGACTGGTGAGTGGATTCCCTTCAGGCACCTAGGATATGGCACATTGGAAGGCTACTTGGAAAGCATCCCAGGAGTGGTCAGAATGGAAGGGAGCAAAATGGGAGAGGTAAGAATCAGTAACAGTTCAGAATTGGCTTTTGTGTGTGTAAAGTGTGCATGGTTCATAACTTTTTCTCTGCTCGTGCCATTTCTGGAAAAAAGTACTGTGGCATGTGTGTGGTGCACTCATCCTGGGGGAAGAGAAAGCTGTGGCATAGACCAAGTGCCTCTTATTTTCCTGCTTCTTTATGCCAGCCATGAAGTTGTGCTTGCAAAAGGTAGAAGGTTGCAAGGCATTTCCTGGAAACATGAATTGTTGCCGGAAAGGTGGTTTTGGGATGCTGTAGAACTCTGTTCCATCTCTCAGCATTTCTAATTCTGGAGGGGATGTTTATGGATTGGTCTGGGATGTGAAAGGTTAACTTGTATGTGTCTTGATCAGCTCTTCAGGGTGGGGTTTAAGCATCACCTTTTTCTTACCATGAAACTGTTGTGAGTACATTTTATAAACCTGACAGCTCTTGCTTTGGTTTTAGCAGTCTAGTTTGTCATGAGTTTCAGTGCCACAGAACTGAAGACTTGCCAGCATGAGGAAGAGCCCATGCAAGAGAAGTGCCTTGTTTCAAGAGTTGCAATGCTGGAGCTTAACAAGTGTGCATGGGACAAGGAGTCAGTACAGAGGTCAAGGAGGAGGTGGAGCATTGCTCAGCAGAGAGTATTAGTGTGGGGGAGAGTTTTCTCTTATCTGTTGGCCTTGCTGATGTAGCCTTTATCTCCTGGTGGCTACCAGCTTGGAAGCAGCTTGCCAAGACCATGTTCTTCCTTGTCCAGTAGCGGTTTAGTTCCTGATTTTGAGTCAGAGCCATTCTCTTGATGTTTGGTGTAGCTGTGTGGCCCGTAGATAATCTGAGTAGAGAGCTTGGAGCCTCTCCCTCGCTGAAGTTCCTCGTCTGAGTTCCTGAAGTCTATATAGACCATGAGAAAGGAGAAAGCTAGCAGGTATTTGGCACAATGTATGACTGTCACAGCAGGTCTGGAGAGGCAGGACTTAAGGCTGAGCTCCCTTGCTGGCTCAGCTGAATTGGGGTGGCTTCTGGGAACTCAGAACTAGGACTTCTGTTTGGCTGTGAGGAGCGTGATGAGGGTGTCCAGGGTTTTGTGCTGATGTCTGGAAGCGCAGCTGCTTTTAAGCAAGAAATTCCTGTGCTGCATTTCTACAACTGTCAAAATTTGCTCTTTTGCAGCCTGTGTGGAAGTTTGGGGTTCTTTTTCACTTGTCAGCTGCAGCTACACCAGTAACATGAGCGCAGATATCTGGGAGTATTTGTGATGCTGCAATTTTATGCTTCGTTGTACTGGGGTTCTGGCAGGTAGCCATCTCTTTCTAAGGCCCTGCAGGGTGTAATCTGGTATCTTATTGCCTTGAGAGATTTGATTATCCTCTTAATGCAGTGTGTGCTGAGAGCCTTGGGTGGCTGTAGAGATGGAGTCTTGGGTGGCAGTAGAGGTGGTAGTTTCCCTGTGGCAGGTATAAAGAGAGAGCAAAACGTGCCTTTAGGAGGTGGAAGAGAGCTACTAAACAGGAGTTCGAGGTAGCTGAAGAGGGCTTGCTTCAGTTTAGCAGTGCTAACTATGCTGTTTGACTGAAGCAACTGAGAGCAATCACCCAGCAAACCTCGGGGGGGCAGGAGAGTCTTAAAGATATTTTTAGTGGTGGATTTGGCAGTGCTAGGTTAACATTCGGACTTGATTATCTTAAAGTTTTTTCCAACTTAGATGATTCTGTGAAAGCATCGCTGTTTGGTGACCCTCCTGTTGCTGCGGTTCAGAGCCCGCTGGGTAGACAGCCAAGAGTGGCAGTGTGGTTGTGCACGGGTGTGGGCTGGTAACTACCTGGGCTTTCCTTATTGCTAAGGCAGCCACCCAAAACATACCACCAAAAAATACATTCAACAAGCAATCCTGTAAAGTGGCCAGTAAATAATACAAATTGATTCCAGAGTGCTGAATGTTAGAGGCTCCTTGAAGGATTTGTGTGAGATGGGTATTGCCTGATGCTGAAGAGTCTGGTTGTCTTGGGAAGGCAATGATATAAATTGTCCCCTGTTCTTCTTACTACTGAACACTAATTTAGCCTTCTTGAATATAAGAAAGATGAACACTGACAGTTATTCATTAACACAACAGATATGTTGTCTAGTTTCCACAAACTATAAGGATTAATTTCATTGTACAGAAAACACTGCAGGGGGTCTAGAACTGAAACACTGTGCACGTGCAAGAGATGCTCATGTCATTTCAAGGAAGCCTGCTTTGCTTCACAATCAGTTACAAGCAGCATACAGTTGCACCTTTCTCTAAGAAAACTTTGACTTCTGCTTGAATAACTAAGCCTCTGCAAAAAGAGGAGTTTGAAGACTGCTTTGCTCTGGTGCAAATGAATTCATCCACCTCATCTCTTTTTCCTTCAAACTCAAACCATCATTTTCGCTAAAGTCATTATGATGTGAAAACAGTGGGAAAAAATGGTGAAAATAATTTACATTAGTGACAAGAAAAACCTGAAGTGTACAGAAGACGTTAAAATGTGCATCTATGAAACTGATAAACTATGAACCAAAAATCTTTTATGTTGAGGTCTTGAGAAAAGAGAAGGGTTGCAGGTAGTCCATCCTTCATGGACGTGCAGCCATGTTATAATCAGGGAAATGCCAGTTAGCCAGGAAATACGAGGAAAGGTCTCATACCTTTCTCTGGAAATGGGCATAGCTAGGCACCTCTCTGTTGTGACAGCTTACACAACTGGTGTGCTGCTGTGAGTAGATGGCTGCTGAGGAATGCTGGGCTGGAACAGAAAGGGAGGTGGCAGTTTCTGTGAGCCCCTCCAAGTGTGAGAGCAATGGTGACACTCAGAGCTCTCCCTTGGGATGGATGATGCCACATGAAGAGCTTGCAGCTTATGGGTAGTGGACAAACCAGTATATGGGCAGCATGGTGGCTGGCTCTTACACACACCCTTATCAGGAAGAAGTGGTAAATAAAGCAGATGATGTCTTCAACAAGCCTCACATTTGCAAGCTTTGATCCTCGTGGAGGACTTGAGCCACTGCCATACCTGCTGGAGGGACAAGACAGCCAAGCATGAGCAATCCAGGATGTTTCTGGGGTGTGCTGATGACAGCGTCCTGACACAAGTGAGGAGTTGATGAAGGGAGATGGTCTACTGGACCAGATTATTACAAACAAGGAAGAACTGCTTGGGAATGTAAAGGCTGGGGACAGCCCTGGCTGCAGGGATCATGAAAAGGTGGTGTTCAGGAGCCTGAAAGGAGAGGAATAAAGCAAATAGCAGTATCAACAAGCCAGAACATCAGGAGAGCAGGCTTTGTTCTCTTCAGGAATCTGCTTGGAACTCTCATGGGATACAGTTCTGGAGGTAAGAGTGGTCCAGGAGAGGTAGTGGATTTTCAAGGATTGCCTCCTCTAATCTCAATAATGGACCATCTCAACAATTGGGGCTGGGGGGAAGGCAAGGTTGTAGAAGGCACGCATGGATGATCAAGGAGTTCCTGGCTTACCTCTGCAATTAGAGCCTTGTGCATAAGAGGAGGAAGCAGAGTTGCATGAGGTGGAAGCAATGTAGAGATGCTGTCCAAACATGCAGGAATGGGGTTAGGAAAACTAAAGCCTACGTGGACCAAATTCTGGGAAGGAACATGAAGGGCAGCAGGGAAGATTTCTACAAGTACATCATCAGCAAAAGGATGACTAGGGAAAACGTATGTCTCCTGAGAAATGATAACAGGGACTTGGTCTTAAAGGACATCGGGAAGGCTGAGGCACTGACTGCCTTTTTGCCTTGCTCTTTACAGGTAAGACCAGCTGCGAGTAATGTCAAGGCTACTGAAACCAATGGAAGAGTGCAGGGCAAGGAAGACTAACCTCGGTGTGGCAAGATTAGTTAAGGGAACATTTCAAAGAACGGGAAGTGCACAAGTCCAGGGGTCTCTTGCAGAGTGTCTCAATGAGCTGGCTGATGTTGTTACAAGACCACACTTGATTATACTGGAAAGGTCATGGTGGTTTCTGGGAGGCCTGAAAGGGAGCAGGTTATCTCCCTTACTTGCCCAAGGTTGGGCTGTTGTTGGGGCCCAGCGCAGTGACTGTAGGACAATCTGTGCGGCCAGAGGTACTGTGCTGTTTCTTGGGTCAGTGGGGCAGAGGCCCCCCCTCAGGGTCAGGGCCGTGCCGGGGCCCTGGTGAGCCTTTGCAGGAGGAGCAATGGCAAAGCGAAAGGCTGAAAGGCTTGCCAGTGTTGTAAAGCAAGATGGTCAGGCTGTGGGATGGGAGTGAGAGAGCAGGCTGTTTGTTGGTGGGGCCCTAGCTCCTGTGGGAAGGTGACCGAGAGGCTCTGCTGGCTGCTCTGCTGATCTCTGCTGCAAAAGGAGAGGGAGGTCTCCAAGAGAGGTCTCCAAGTCTTCGTTGTCAGCTGAAGCCTTGGCTGGCATGATGCAGCAGTTTGAGGCATGGAAGTGGCTGGAAATCCTTGTGCAGGCTGTGGATGAGCTTGTGCCTTACTGACTGCTTTCCCTCTGTCCTCTTCCTGCTCCCCCAGGTCATTTGCCATGCTGTTGCTTGCAGCGAGACTGAGCCAATTGCTCAGCTGGTGGCCCGGCAGAGGAGTTCCAAGAGGAAGACGGGACGGCAAGTGAACTGCCAGATGAGGCTGAAGAACACGTCTCCAGTCAAGCTGGCAGGTGAGCTGCAGGCAGCAGTGAAGGGTCTGCCTTTGTGAAAGGGGTGTGCAGCTGCTGGAGCAGAAGTCTTCCCCATGAGGCTGTGTCAGTAATGGCCAGGAATTGTGTGGTCCTGGTGAAGAGTTCCTGGGAGCAGGGAATGTTGTTGATGAGGGCGCTTGTGCTTGCAAGCCCTGATGGGTAGGAAGCCCTTCTTGAGCAAGTAAGATGCTGCAGCGGTGTGTTCCCAGAGCCTCTGGGTCTTTCGCTCCCTGCTGTTGTGTTGCTGCCAGTGGCATCTCCCAGCATCAGGCCCAGACAAGGCCCATCTGCTTGCGAGTAGGCAGCATTGCTGGCAGCAGCAGTGGGCCTCATAGTTTGTTTGTGTTCCCCTGTTGTGTGTAAAGAGGGGTTCGCTTCCTTACAGAAGGAAAGGGGTGGGAAAGAGCAGCCTGACACCTGAAAGGTGAAAGGATGTGGCATCTCACAGTATGTGTCTTTTCTGAGAGTGTAAGGGGAGATGTGTCTGCAGTCTCTTTCCATGCTGCAGTGCAGTGATGGAGATTGTAAGTCCTTGGGTGTGAGCCATGGTGCTGAATCAAGGAGACCCAAAACCGTGGTTGAGAGCATCCTTTCTACCTGTGTTTTGGAGAAGAATGGATTCTGTGGGAGAGTTACCTGCTGTGCTTGAAGTCTGTTTGGGTTGGGTGGAGGAGGGCATGAACTCACAGCTACATCTGCAAACTCCTTAGGGAAGCCCAAAGGAACTTTGAGACAGCCCAGGTCTTTGAGCGTGCCAGAAGAAGGCAGCAAGAGGCCTGCTCCTCGCTTGGCACGAAGCAGAGGAGTGGCGGGTGGCGTGGTGAAACCCACTGTGGAGAGTGCCCGTCTCGCCTTGTCACCAGCTGCTGGGAGTGGACCACCTAAAGAAATGCCCATGCAGAGACACATTACTGTGGTCAACAGGTCAGTGTATGTGTGTGCGTGAGGTGAAAGGAAGTGTGGTGGACTCTGGACGGTGCCATGCCCACAGTGTGTTTTGAAACATGGGAATCGAGGCACCTGCCTTGCAGAAGTTGAAGTTGGACTGTGGGTCAGAAGGCAAGAGGGAGGTGGGTGCCCCTTGCCTTTGGGATGCTGCCATAGCCACCCTATGCTCTTGGCTGCTCCCGTGTCTTCTGGGGAGCAGCGTGGGGAAAGGTGGCACTCCAAGGGAGGGGTGAGGTTGCTGTTCCCCAGGCTCAGGAGGGGGCTGCTGTGGCCAGTGCAGTGGAGCGTGGGAGGAGGTTTGTGTGTAGTGACGAGCGATGCAGAGTGTTGAGGGTTGGGGCTGTCTGCAGGTGGCTGCTCTTTACCTCTCCACTTCTTGTTGGCAGCGTTGGTGTTTGGGACCCTTCTTGGGGCTCTGGAAGCCAGCAGCTGCCTGCCTGTGTCTGGGTGGAAGAGGCGAGGGCTGGAGCTGCCGTTGTGCTGGGTTAGTGGTACACGCTGCTTTCAGCCCCTTTGAGTCTGTCTAATCCGGGGGGGCTTAGCCAGTGCTGCCCCATCAGCTTTCTGCTCTGTTGTTCTGGGCCGCCCAGGGCCATCAGCTGATGGTGGTGAGAAAGCGTTTGCTGCTCCCTCATTGTGGCTGCGCTGAGTGCGCTGGAGCCGTGATTGTGGCAGTAATCCTGTGCTGGTCACCGGGCTGGGTTGTGAGCCAGCCTCCAGCTTTGCCTTGAATGGGAACCATGGTGGAGCTGTGCAGGGGCACGGAGCAGAGGGATGGGTTAATCCTGCTGCGGTGCCCCTTGTTCTGGAACACCCCCAAAAAGCAGACGTGTCCTGTGCCCGTTGCCTGCATGTGCCCTGTGTGCACCAGGGCTCTGGGTGCCAGGGGGGAGATGAGGATGTGCTCAGAGCTCTCGTGGGAGCAGCAGCCATGTCAGGTTTCGGTTATTGTTGGCTGGTAGCACGGCCTTGTGCCCTCCTGCTGCTCCCCAAAGTGCCCTTTGCTGTGGCTGTTCTCTGCTTGAGCCACAGGCTGTGGAGCTGAGATGGGGGAGAGGTAGCAGTGGCAGAGGGGAGGAAGCCAGAGGAGCCGGCAATGGACCTATGAAGAGTAGAGGGCTCGGAGGCAGAGGCCAGGGAAGAGAGATGTGCTGCATGTGGCAGGTGAGGGGAGCGATGCACCCAGGAGTTGTCTGGAGGCTCCAGATGGGCCTCTCTGTGTGCAGCACAGGTCTAATGACGTGAGTGTGGACTGAGCTGCCCCCGTTCTGTTGCTCCTGGGTGAGCTGGGTGAGGCTGCAGGGGAGAAACTTGTCAGCAGCTCTGTGCCCTCCTTGGCTGAGGAGGCTGCTGTGCAGAGGGGAGAAGGGCCAAGCTGTCCAGCTGTGCAGGAGAGATTTGTTCCACAGATCCTTTCACCTCAGGTCCCCTTCAAGCCAAGCACTGTGAGACTAATTGCTGAGATGGTGCTGACTCTGCCCCTCTTACTTCCCTATGTCTGAGCACCCTGGGACCTGGCTCTTGGTCTGTTGAGGTCTTTGTTCCCCACTGCTGACTGCTAGGCTTGGTCCTTACTGAGACTTCAGAGGGTTTGTGGCAGCAATCACTTGGTTAAGTTCATTTCATGAGCATGTTCTCTTATTGCTGCTGTGGACAGGATGCCTTCTGCTGGGAGCCGTTTCTAGGAGCTGAGAAATTTGAGGCAGCTGAGTTGTCCATACCTTCATGCTGGGGAGAAGTTTGCTGGGGTGGCCACTGCCTGTGTTCCGTCCCATCTTTGGAGAGATAAGACCACCATGGTCTATATGAGCAAGCAGTGTGTCACAGGATTCTTGCCTGATTGCAGGGCTGAAAGCTGGTGATAACTGAGCTCACTGGTAATGTATCACTGCTTTGTTCTATGGGGAGCTGTTGAGCCACAGTAGGAAACATAGGAAGGTACCTCATGATGTCTCTTAATACTGAAAGTATCCCAAATCCAGTTAGCTTTCACATTCAACATAAGAGAATCATCAGTCCTCTGCTACAAGTTTGTTTCTGAGGTGTTCCAGATAGCATGGCTAGAAAGGGAACATTTGCCTTCTTCCTCACTGAAACCTTGGTGCAGTTGCAGGCTTACCCTGCACTCATAGCATCCACATCACGAGTGGTAAGGTGGTATAAATGGTATGTGGACACTGAAGACTAGAGCACAGCTATAGTATTCCTACCGGAAAGCAGCAGTAGCAGAACAGTCTCCATTAGCTAGCTCATGGGATTGTTTCATTTGCTGCCTAGCAAACAAAACCGGTGGTAGACTCTTTTGAGTGTGTGTCCCTTAAGGGGACTTTCTTGTTGGGTACCTGTCCAGCTTAGAGTTGTCCATACTGGTAAATACATGTATAGGGAGGTGGGATCCTGGATTTCTTATAAGGTCTGCATGGCAGTCACATCACACTTTCTAAGAGGAGGTTGTTATGCTGCTTTGTGTGGAGATCTGAGTTGAGGCCCAGGAGGTAGAGGGTTTTCCTGTGAGGCAGGTTGAAGAGTCTTTCCAGATACCCAACAAGTGCAAGGTGTGAATGAGTATTTGGGGTTTGTGTGGATGAATTTTGTACTTTCCGAGTCTCATCACATTTGTTTTTCATAAATGTGCTTGTTGTTGATTTTCTGCTCAGTATTTCTGGGCATGCTTCTCCTGCTTTGGAAAATGCTGTCCTAGGCAGTGGCTGTCATCACTGCTATGGCAGTGGGACACGGCGCAGATAAGAAGTATGATTTTTGGTATGAATGATGCCCCATAGCTGATGAAGGAGCAGTAGTTTCTTCTTGCAGCAAAAAAAAAGCAAGGGAGACAAGTTCACAGCAGCCTGCTATGCTTCTGTGGAGAGCTGTTCTTGAACATTTGCCATCCTGACTTCTCCACTGCAGTTCTTCCTTGAGTGTGTCTTTGAGAGGTGCTTTGTCCTGGTCTTTGAACTCTTCTATCCAACTCTTGTTCCCTTACACTTGCAGTGTATGTAATTATTCCACAGCTTATTGTTTCATTTGCCATGTAGGTAATTATTCCATCGCTTACTGTTTCCAAAACTCGTAGTGAGCTACACACTGCTGTGACTTCTTCATTGTCAGGAGCTAACTGTGCTGCATGTGCTCCCTGTATAAGCAACTCCTCTCTGAGGGAGCTCAAAAGAACACCTGCAAACGTGAGATTTGTGTCCTTTCTATGGGTGACCACTTAAGAGGGGAATCTGTTGAACAGTGTAACAACAGCATCCACAAAAATACCTTGGGTTCCTGTGTAGTTTAGGTATTCCTCTGATTTCTGAAGCCACATGCTTTCAGAAGACTCTGTCATGATGCCCAAGAAGGTAAGCATAGTCATGTTCAACAGCAAGACTGGGATGCCATCCAGACTAACAGCCAGGAAGTGAGGCTGAATGTATCAACTGTAAGACCATCAACTGTTTTATTAGACCTAGGTGCTTTCCTTTTGCTAATGTCTCGTTACTGTGTGTTTCGTTTCCTGCAATAATTGGGAGAATAAGAAAATATTAGAAACCACCTGTTGATCTGTCTTGTTACTGCTAGTCAGATTGTCTTCTAAGCCAGGACATTGTGAGTACTGATCTTGTGCAGGGAGCTTGCTAGAAGCTTGTGAAATAAATTTTATTTCATGTACAGGTCTTGGAAGCAAATGGAATGCTGTTCAGAGGCAGGAGAATGATTTAAAGCAATTTTATTTCCAATTGTAGGCCTGAGAAAAGACTAACTGTCCCACCACGGTTTCAAAAGGAGTTGCAAGTCCACCTGTCCAGAAGCTCTTCTGTAGATTCAAATGGTATGTTTGCCCATTAAGAAAATTTTTGTCACCTATTCACATTAGATTGGGTGCAACCTTAAGAAAAAAAATCCATCTTGATACTTAGGTTTGGGTGAGAAACCAAGTTCTGTGAGTGAACCTTCTCACTCTGGATTTCATGGTGCTGGGGAAAAGTGTGTGTGTACTTGTCTGCCTCTGTCTTCTAGGAAAATCCTTGTGTATTGAGTGTCAAAGCTAATCACAAAGCTCGTGTGAGTAGCTTGGGAACAGGAGGAATATGCTTAACTTCACCCAGGGTAGGGGTCTGGTATACGGGAGTGAAATCCTGGCTTTTAGGTGTAAGCAACACATTTCTGGACCTACCTGTCCAGAAGATACTACTCTGTGCGCCTGGTTCCCAGAAGTTGTGCAGTTGCTTTCTTTGAGACCTGTGAGGCTGATCTGTGAAGCTTCAAGTCTGGTAGCAATTATATGCCTCAAAGGGAGGAGAGGAGTACTGATGAGGGAGCAGTGATACGAACTTCCAGCTGGGATAATGACTGCCCTACTCCTACACACAATGTTATACAGCTGTCCAAAGCAGCTGAATAGTTGCTGTCTCTTTCCTTGCTCGCCTGGCAGGTTTCCTTGGGTGCAGTAGCACAGGTCTGGGTCCTGGGTTCAAACTTTTCTTCAGGACATATATCTTAGAATGAAAGCCAAGTCTTTGGTCTGTTTTGTATCTCTGTCTGAATTTAGAGCAACATCCTTGGATGTTTGCCTGTGTCTTTGCTATGGTGTTTGTACTCATAATGATATTATCTTAATTCCCTCGTGGGATGATGCCTCAGTGAAGTCTCTCAGCAACAGCATGAATGAGAGTTCTGTAACCTCTTCCAGGATCCCATCAGAAGAAAATAACTACAGTGATTTGAAAATTCAGCTTCAGGTCAATTACTAAATATCTCAGGTTTCCATGGCTCTTTCCAATAGAAAGTGACTGGGAGGGAGAGATGTGTTTTGGTGTTACACTGGGAGCTCCCATGGTTTATTTTTAAGTAGGTAGGGAATCATCTGTATTACTCTCTGCTGATGAGTCTGTGTTTACTTCAAGGCTGTGCTTTTGTTTACCAGATAACTTGAATACATCCGCTGCGGAGACACATACTGTTGCCTCTGGCCCTTCTGCTGCTCCTGTCAATGAAGTTCAAGGTCGCATAAAGGAGATTCTGAGCAAGTGCGGCAGCGGTGTCTGGGTGTCGAAGATGCCACAGATCTACCGGGAAACATACTGGGAGGAGCTCAGCACAGCAGTACTCCGTCAGCTTGAGAACTGGCCTCACGTGTGCACAGTAAGTATTGGTAGTTTCTCCTTCCCACACCATTGTGTTTTGTGCTTTTCATTGTTAGTGGGTTTATCTCCTCTTAAATCTATAAGCTGCCAGTAAGTCCTGCACGAACAGTCTTATGTCTGTCTGCATGTAGACTTTTCCACAGGTTTTTATCACATCTTAGGTCAAGGTTATGGAATTTGCTGTGCAAGTTAGGCTTATGATATAATAGATGAGATGTGATAATGCTGGGGGGAGGGATTACAGCTCGAAAACCTCCGGCCACCCCCACCCCCAATGTCTGTTACCTTGTCTGTTGTCTGATCATCAGAAGTGTTTTGGTCCTTCATATTAAGAGCTGTGCTTTTACATCTTTTTCTGCATTTAAGGCATAATGCAACTTTGCATCAAGGCTTTGTTTAGCCTTATTTTAATAGGACATTTGTATCAATGGACACTTCATCAGCATCTGTCAAACTGTGGCAACAGAAGGATAGTGAAGTAATGAGAGTATCTGTCTTCTTGAAGTGACTTTTCATGTACATAAAAATACTTGTAATATTATGTAATAACTTTAAATGCCAAAAAAATTTCACTGTGATTAAGTAATTGCTCTTCAGCAATAACAGCATTTGCATGTGTGTATGGTATTGTGCATGTGTATGATATTCTAGCACATACATAAAAGGTGCCTGTGACATGTGACATCTTACTACGAATATAGAATCATAGAACAGTTAGGGTTGGGAAGGACCTTAAGATCATCAAGTTCCAATATCCCTGCCATGGGCAGGAACCCTTCACACTAAACCATATCATGCAAGGCTTTGTCCAACCTGGTCTTGAACACTGCCAGGAATGGAGCATTCACAGCCTCCCTGGGTACAGTAATGTGTGCAGACAGCAGTACTTTGTTTTGATGGTTGATGAGCTATTCCTGTGTTATCCACAGAGCAAGCTATTATGTTTTCAGTTACTTAATTCATGCAGCAAATTTTAGTCTTTTTTGTAGCTCCTGTTGCAGACAAAGCGTTGCTGTTAATCCAGAATCTTTGGTCTGTGTTCATTGTCCATTTGCTTATTATCTGTTGGGTGTACCTCTTCTTTCTAGCAAGCAAATAGTCATTTTAGTGCAAATAAGCAGTCCTTAAACCTTTGGAAACATTGTAATAGAGCAGGCACAGCACAACAATAATTAGAATGATCAAGTTGTCTTGACACAGCCAGTCTTATTGTAGAGAACTGTTAATGAGCCCGTAAGGGCCACCATCTTTTTCTGACTTGCGTAAACTGTAGTCATGGCCCTGGCATAGAGAAGTTTGAACAGGGACCCAGGCCTTCTTGTATGAAGGCTATCATATGTCTCTTAAATATAATCAGTATTTATTTCAGGTTCAAGCATATTGTCTGCAGGTGCACAGCTGTCTGCAGGTGCACAGCTCTGTAGATCCTTTGAAATGCCAGAGGGCAGACTACTGATACTGAAAGTATCAGTAAAGATGCTTCCATGATTAATATTTGACTTATTTCTGTCTTGATGGGTACTTACATGGGAGTAGCTGCCAGCCTCAGAACAGGAAAAATGCCTGGTGTTTCTCTCAGTACCTTCTTAATGAGACAGCATTGAATGCATGCTCATCAGTAGTAGCTTAGCTCCAAGCCAGCAGTCAGTAAACCTTGCAATATGCCTTTAGCATTGCCAAGCCAGTCATTTGAGGATTCTCCTTTGGACAGTCATGTCTTGAATAACTTGCATCCCTAAACTTTTCTCTGAAAAAAATGTTATTGTTTTACATCTGGGAAATTATAATTTCTGTGTTTAGGTTACAATCATCAGCAATGGAAACTTTTCCTATCTACTCAGCTGGAGGGAGAGAGAATATTATAGCAGAGATATGAAAGCTGAGAGGAATGCAGACTTGTAAACAAACAAGGTTTTTTGGTGAGGATAACAGTCTGAAATCTGTACTAAGCTACTCAAGTTATCTGGTGACATGTCTAATTTGGGCCCGAGCCAGGCAGCAACTTCCCTGAAAAGACAGTCCAATCTCTATTCTTATTAATGCAGAAGAAGAGGGCAAACACTGCACCACTGGAGAAACATGTCAAAATCGGGTGTGCTCCTCCCATCTTTATTCAGAAAGTACACAAACAAAAACTGAGAGATCAAGCAGAGTGAAATGGTGATTCAGAAGGTGATGGGTAAAGATAAGTAATGGATTCTGTATGGGCCACAATAAGTTAAATTATTTAAATGGGGAAAGATAGAGATATGGGGTATAAAATAATAGAGACCTGGAGAACGTAAATGGAGAAATATCATCATCTTGAATTCAGAAGAAATACTTTCACTGATGAATGGATGATCTCTGGCTTCAGTCATCAGGATCTTCTTTCCAAGGAAACTGTCACTAACTGATAGTGTCTGAAGTATGGAGTGTCCAGCATGGGAGGAAGAGGTACCACTACATTTGTCTTACCCACTATGCTTTTTCCTAGGCACCTGCTGTTGTCAAAGAGGATGTCAGGCTAGGAGCATCTGTGTTCTGACCAAGTACAGCTCTTCTAATGTGCTGATTGGAGCTGCCTGTAATTATTCCACAGGTGATTCTTTCTCACCAGTCTTGGTGCTCTCTTCGTTCTAATAGTAGCCTTTTAAATGCTTGTACATCAATATGGGAAGACAACAAAATCTGTCAGTCCTGTGTTTGTCAGGTGAAGCCGTCTTCTATTCTCATTTTCTCCATTTGTCTTCCCAAGTTCCTTCTTGTAGTTAGAAGAAAGAGAAAATAAGAGGCAAACATCTTTTAAGTGGCAGAAAGAACAGATCCATTCTTCCAGAGTTTTATTGTAGTAATGGCTGTCTTGTTCCTTCTGATTTCTCAAGGCGCTGGTAGAAAAATGAAACTCCCATTCTGAATTGGGAATTTTCAGTTATGCTAGAGGAAATGTACTAGCTTTTCAGCAGTTCTAGAACAAAGAATCCTACTGCCTCTGGCTTTCAATCAGCTTAGACATTGTCTGGTGTTATCAGAGGCCAGTTTCATCTCCAGTAATCCACTATTCCTCAGTCAGTTGTCTTAATGCTTTTTAATAAGCATATGGCTAAAAAATATGTAATACCTAAGCATATTCTTTACCACTCAGGGTCACCATGAGCAGCTTGCCCAGGGCTGTATCCAGTTATGTTTTAAAAACACTCTACAACCTTTCTGGACAACATATTCCAGTCCTGTTCCTGTCCTGTTCCAGCTTCCCATATGACAGAAGGTTTGGCTGAAGACAAGACTTTTAGTGTGTCCTTTTGGTGTTTGGGGTAAGAAGTTAGATGGTGTAGCTTCCCATGCAAAACAGCTGATTGTGTATTGGACTAGAAGCTGTAAAAGCTGAAGTGTGAAGGATAAGACTGGCAAAAACAGTGGGACTGGGAGTTCTGGTGATCACCTCTGACAGGGAAAAGACAGTCAGCCAACTTTATAGGTGCAAGATTCTGCTGATCAAGGCCAGGAATGTCTTCCTTGCTGGTTTGAGTTCCAGCTTGCTGGGAGTTGAACTTCAGGTACTATTGAGGAAAGTCAGAAAGATGAAAGCTGCCTTCACACTGAAGCATTTGTCTAAGGTACCTCAGCAAAATGTGCCTGTATGCAGTCTATGTATGTATGCCATGATAGCTAGCTTCTGTGTTGCATATTTAAATCAGATCTGAAAGAGTTAACACATCACACGTCTGGTGAATTATTCTTGCTGAATCACAGTGATAGTTCTGATCAGTGTGTTCTGGAGCAGTTGTTGAAGAGCCATTTGATACCAAGAATCCTTAAGCCAGACTTCTCCTGCTTGCCACATACGGTGATACTCTGTCACTGACATTCAATACTAACTTCCACTGTGTGTTTCCTTTCCCTACCTTGCTGAAGAATGGCAGAAAATAGCTGCATATGTTAGTTGTGAATGTAACGGCGAAAATGAAGGACACCTTTTCTGACTAGAAACACTAATTGCAAGGAGTTGTCTTCTCTACCCCCTTCCTGGAAGATACTGATGCTGTAGGAGTTTTCCAGTGTATCTGCTCTTTCATCATCACTGTACACACAATTAGGCAGGACTTTGCTCATTCTGGCATCACAAAGTGGATTCTCTCTTTGATTATATATATTAGTGTAGTGGTTTACTTGTACATCGTCAAGCACACATATACAAAACTGCTGTCTTAACACACACAGGATCATGTCTGCATTTGTCCTCTCCATATATGTATGCCAAAAAGAGAAAACTTGCTCTCTACTTGCATTCCACTGGATTTAATCAGTTGCAGCATCAGTGTTTATCTTGGGAGTATTTTTTCACTTGAAGCTTTACTTTTTCTGGGCTCCACATTTTTAAGAGCTCATTCTGTTACTCAGACCCAGAACAAATGTGTTTTTCTTCTGCGTAGAACAACATAAGTCTGTATTGCTTTGGTAATACATTCTGACAGCTGTGGACTTCGCTTTGTCCTCTGTAATGGAGAGGTGACAGTAGGCATGTTGTCATGGAACATTGGAACATGGAACAGCAGACATGCCAGCCACACTAATGGGAAGAACCTTGCAGGCAAATCTGTAAACCCAACTGGAAACCAACTTGAGACATTTGTACTAAAAAAGGGTGCCTGCTTTGAAGTACTGCTCACAAGTGAAACTCTTTGCTTCTAATTAAAAGTTTCTGTAGTGTTGTGCGTCTTCGAAGGTGTCTTGGCCATAGCACTGTTTGGAGGAGTCTGTTGCATCTTGAACATTAACTTCTATGGAAGAAACAGTAGCATAATGATGTACATCTGAGCTTATTTGTGCCTAAGCACAATGTACTGAAACCCTGTACTGAAAGCATTTTGCTGTCTCTAAACAGTTTGCTCAGTCAGCGTCTACAGTCTCTTCTAAACAGAGCTTCAGTGCCTGAAAAACCTCAGAGCTATTATTGGAATTAAGAGGTTTAAAGGTCTGTAAGGATCTTCTTTCTTTATTCTGCTGCTAGTCTTAGTGTGTGAGGTTTAATACTCCTGTCAGCTAAAATTTATTCATCTCTGTTGCAGCACTAGTTAAAAAGCTATGTAAGGGAAAAGGTACATAAAGGTAGACCTCTGCTTGTTTCAGGATGAACTGTGATACATTCCAACACAACCTTCTCAAACAGATTTTTGTCCTTATAATGACAGTATTTTCTGAAGCTAAACGTTTCCTTGGCTGGTGATTTAAACAAGTTCCTCAGTCTTGTATATGGACACTTGGGACATCCTTATCAGTTCCTCTGTATCTAGGATGTCATTACCTGCCAAGGAGTTGTGGACTGATTTTTTTTCTCTGAGCCACATGGTATGCTTTGGTCTCTTGACTGTGTATCAAAGCACATGTAAGGCCTTGATAAGTTTTTGTTTGTTTTTACCAAGCTCCTTTGTCTGTGCTTCAGGAGGCACAGTAATATTTCTTATACCACAGGGTACAAATGTAGGTTCTTCATGTCATAAATCATTGAAGACTTTTTGGTCCTTCTAAGTTGAATGGCCAGATATGTTTTGTCACCTCTTGTATCAAACTGATTAGCAGAGATGCTTGAGAACTTGGTGAATGTACATTGAAGTCCTTTATATGATTTGTTTATATTTTGTCCTATAGTAGATATGTATCCTTTAGTACATGGATGTCTGTAATGCACTATCTCTCCCCTCCCCCCAGTTAAGAAGAATGTCTCCTTGGTTTAGTGAGCCTACTTGGAAAAACTGAGTCTTTAAGCTTGTGGAATCTTTCACATGAATTCAGGGAGTTGAGGGTTGTTAGATATGTTTGTTTGCTTTCTAATGTCTTATTCTTGCAGAAAATATCATTACTTTAGTTTTCACTGATAAGGAAGGATTCAGACATGCCACCATGAATACATGACAATTTTTTAATGTGGCTAGAATTTTTTTTATCTATGAAAACTGTTCCCTTTGTCTGTATTTTAGATAGCACATATGCTAGTGTTCATGATAGTTGACCAAGACCTGTTGCCAAGAACCGTTTGATAGTCTTTTTCTGCACCAGTAGACAGTGTAGTGAACAAGTGTATGGATGTGCACTTGTGTCGTAACACTTAGGTGGTTTTGCTGACTCTCTAAACTCGGATAATCATGTGGCAGTTTGGGATGAGTGTAAGGAGATGCACATAGGAAAAAGTATGTGGCTCTTGACACAATAATGACCTTCCCCCCTCCCATTTTTTCAATGTCTTGTAACTAAATATACTTGTCTCTTTTGTGTTATCTTGATAATGAGTTACATGTATTAGTCTTGTTATGTAAGATAGTAATCTTCTTTGTTACACTTCCATTGTATGCTGCTAAGACAGAACAGCATAGAATGGCTTTAGTAACCTTTATAAAGTTCTGATGGATATGGACATCAAATATTGTAAGGTAAATGCTACCCCTGAGCAGTAGCAAGTAATTCAGCTAGTAAGTGTTTTTTTCAGTGGTCTGCCTCAGAAAAGGACTTTGGTGTGACGTACATCCAGGAAACTGACAAGAATTGTTTCTTCTCAGGAACATCAAGGTGGAGCTGCTTAAACCTTAATAACCTTATTGCAGGACTTGTTCTTGCTTTGGAACCAATATGGAAACACTGAGAGCTTTTGTTATCTCAATTCTACATAGATACTCCTGCTAACTTACAGTTAGGTCGATCTAGGTTGAAACTGCATAGCTTTAGGAACTTGAATTTATTGTAAGTTTATTTCTACAGTTCTCAAATGGTTCTTTTAAGGATGTACAGAAGTTAAGGAAGACTTCCGATCATGTGAAATGCCTGCTGAACTTTGCAAAGGGTAGAAACATGGACTGGCAAAACATAGGGACCTGGGGGGAGGCTGTGGGTATAGTTCAAAGTGGCCTAATCAAATTTATAACAAAATTTATTATGAAATTTATTACTTAATTTCAGAACCATTTGAAAGAAAAGAAATTCCATGAGCATGTCAGCAGATAGGCTTTCAACACTGCCTGACATGTGTCCTCTTGTTTCGGAAGGATACCATCAAACCCCCTTTCCCCTCAGTAAGATGAGACAGAAACTTTCATTTATGATCTGTTTACCTGTATGGATGACCAGGATAGGGGGCTGCTAATGTGCAAAAGACCTAAGTTTGTGGAGTGTGTCATCATCTTCTTGTCCTTCTAGGAGAAAAGAGAGATGAGACATCTTTGGAAGCAAGTCTTGAGTTGTATTACGTAGCTCAGATATTTGCCCTGTACTGATGTGGTCATATGCGTTTGGTATCCTTCAAAATGGAGGTGAAGCATTGCAAGAAATACTAAGCTGTAGTAACTACCTCAAGCTTACTTTCCCCTTGGATACCCACTTCAAAGTCTGTGATGTAAAATGTAACTAGCAAAATGGATTACCCTTAGAGATGCAACTGATTATTGACTATATTTTTTGTTCCCAAGGTGGAGAAAGTACACAGAGGTGATCAGGTGGATGGGCTTCTTTATCCTGCTGAGAAAATAACACCGATAGCAAAAAGTGATACAGAGCAACACAAAGCATCTCAGAATGTTACATCTTCAAAAGCAGACCCTTTGTTAAAATCAAGTATGGAGAACACGCCTGCATCACTTAGTAGTGACTTCAAGGAGAAAATAGTCAACATTTTGCTGAAGTATTCTAGCGGTCTTTGGGCTAATGCACTTCCTAAATTGTACCAGGACACCTACCAAGTAAAATTTCCAGAAGACATTCTAAATAATCTAGAGCTGCTCTCAGATATATGTATCGTGGACTATGTATCTGAAGTCCCCAAAAAGGCCATCCTCTATGCAAAACCCCAAAGATTCATTGACTCAAATCTGAATGTCACTGAGAGAGTCCAGAGGCATTGTGGCATGAAAGCTACAGCTGAACAACAGTATGAAGAATCCAAGGACCATTATCCAGAAAACATAACTGTTCCTCCTTTAACCATTCCATCGGAAGGATCTGTGTCCATCATGGTGTTGGAACTCAAAAACACTAATGAGGTTCTGATTAGGCAAGTCTGTACTTCAGAAACTCTTTTTTTTTCTTTATTTATGAATTCACATATTAATATTGTGCAGGTCTGCTGTAAGAGGACAGATGAACAGGAGGTTGCAGGACTTTATTTACTTATTTTGATAATGGAAATTAATCCTTTTGTTTGGGTGCTTAAATGAAAATTTTCTGTAACCTTCTCTGCTGATCTGTTCTATCATTTGCTTGTCTGAGAATCAAAGCAGATTTAACTTGCCATTGGAGACTTTTTAAAATAACCCAATTATAACACATAGTAGTATTCAGATATTGCTGCAATACTCATATTTTTTATTTCAGTAACTAACTTACTACTGACTAAGCATGACTTGAATGTATTCAGATTACACTGCAGTTTTCATTTCTGGGGACAGATGAGTTTCCATCCAACAATAAACTACTAGTGATTTTTGATTTGGTTGCTAATCAGCCCAGTCTTAGAGGACTGTATAAATGTAAGTCGTTGTGGCTGTCGTATGTTACTGTACTGTTTAAGAAAATACTATGATAAGCTCTCTATACGTCATTGCTGGGATAAAACACACAAATCCTAGCAGTTCTTTAAAACTAAAAAAACCCCAAGCAATCAAACAAGAAAAAGTCCCACAAAGGTTTTTTTATAGAAGATACTCCTTTTTGAAAATCATTTACATTGGGCCTAACCTTAAAAAGTTCTATATGTCACCTCAAAGATGAACTGAGCAACTGTGTGGTAATACACTGTATTGACAGCAGTCTGTTTTTTCCTGCTAGTCTTTGCAGTTTCAACGTTCATTAGGTAGTTTCAATCATTCAGAGGTCCTGGTTAGGATCAAAATAAGTATGTGTGGAGTTTAGTTACAGATCCTTTCATTATGAAACTAATACCCTGTTGTTTATTAGTCGTTGACAGTATTCAACACACAGGCCTTGAGGCTGAAATTTAGATATCCTTTTTCCCTCTAGCTATGAGTAATGTATTGGAATATTCAACCTTGAACTTTCTTTATGTGCTATTCCATTGTTCTAGTTCCCAGTAGTGATAATCTGTAGTGAAAATCCCCATATTTGGGGCTTATGAGAGACATTCTCATTTGAGAATGTTGCCATCTTTGTTTTAGCTCCTAACAATATTCCTATTTTGTGCTTTTTCTCAGATAAGCTTTTTTTGTACATTGCATATACATTGATTTTGTATACTGGCCTAAAAAAATCATAATTTAAGGCAAGATTCCTCATCCATCATTAACATGTGTACTGTCTCTGGCTGGATGAGTCAACCATTTTAGCAAAGAAGACACAGCTGAAGTTTGTGAGTGAGCCTAAACTTAAAAAAAAAAAAGAAATCATAGGAACTACATTAAAGAAAAGAGAGGCTTTATGTGTTTTGTTGTTCCTGTGAGAGTTCTGTTTGAATTTAGTCAAACACATGGAACATAATGAAGAGTAATAGTGCCAGGAAAGACAGCCAATTTAAAACACGTAGTTATCTATACTTAGAGATACAGAAGTAGACATGATGCGTATTGCATGTTTTGCATTGGGAAGAGCAGGAACAAATTATCTGGGTATTAATTCTGCAAAATTTTTTCCTTCTTACTATACACCTTTTAATCCTGGCAGCATTGATGACTTGCTCTATATGTGAAGTAATGAATGTTAGCTTAATAATGTTATTTTAAGGATGTTTCCACTAATTATCTGGGGAAATGGTTCAAGTCTCATGGATTAAAATACCATGTGACACAGATCAGATGAGGTTGATTATGTTAAAATTTCTCTAAATCAGCAGTTCCCAAATTTTGGACCAGGGTTCTTAGACAATATTAAAGTTTCTGAATTTGTCAGCACTGGGTTAGGTATGTGTTGGTGATTAGTGGTTTCTTGGCACTAGATACAGAAGTGACTTTTTAGGGTTATGTATGTACTACATGGGGAAGGTCATTTATCTTCAAGATGAAACTATCCCTGAACTGAGTAGTTCACAAGAAAATGTTCATGTGGGTATGTAGGAAGGAAACAATGCATGGACTCATCTTTCCTGTGCATGAAAGGCCCTGAAGGTGACATGCAGTCACCTTCTCATGATCCACACAAGAATGGTGTAGCTGGTTTTTTGTAGGATCAGTAAACTCAAGATTGTTCTTTTTGTCTTGGGGATGGAGCAGTATCTCTTTATTTTTTTGGTATGCAGCTAAGCATTGTTTGGCTGAAACCTTTCAACTGCAGCACTAATTAAGATGAAGTTGGAAGATTTGGTGCTATTTCAGTTTTGAGGCAGTACAGTTCTATAAGAATTCTGATGTCAGAAAGAGAGGAAATAAAACACTCCTAGATGTTTGCTGTATATCTACAACAGTGTGATTGCAGGAAAAGATGATAAGTAGGTGCTACATTTGAATTCTCACAAGAATTTGCTATAAGCTTTTATTCTCAACTGCCTTGAACTTCTGTGCTACAGTTCAGATGCTTTTTTTCTCTTTTTACGTTTTTGAATAGACAGAATTTTATAGCTTGTTTCACTATGGAAGCATACCCCTCTGTTCCCTTCACAGTGAAGCTGCAAGCCTTACTTGATATGTGAATCGGTTCCAGTTTAAGGGTAAGAGTGGTGCTGAATGCACACTTGCAGTATCTGGCCAACTGCACACCTGCTTAGTCTTTCACATATTTTTTTTATGTTGCTTTCGAAGATTATTTTCCAAAGAATCTGAACAATATTTTTTTCAGTTGGTTTTGAGAGGCTGAAAGCTTTTTCAGTGCAATGCTCAGGTATTATCAGAAAATAGCTAGTGAGGCAGGAAATTCTGAACGATTATACTACTTTCTGTTAAGATACTCCTACTATCTGTTAAGTGTATCCATAAAACAGATGTTAGGAGATAAATTTTTAAGTAGCACACAAGTGATTGTTGCCCCACTCCATGTCCATTATGAAGCAGATGAGTGCTTACATAGAAGGACAAGGGCTGTTATTCTGAAAAGCGATATATAATTGGATGGTGAGTAGTAGGCTGTGTTTAGGAGAATGAGGATTCCCTGGAATATGATCAAATTTAAGTTAATCTTTATAATAAAGTTAGCATAATATGTCATAGTACAGTATCTGCACTAATCTTGGGCATATAGCAAACCTTCAGAATAAACCCAGATTTTTATAGGATGATAATCTATGTGGGAGACGTGAGCAGTATTAATCACTCTATGAGCAAGTTAAAATAGTAGCTACTAATACAAATTTGGGATTAAGTTTTCCTTTTGTCTGATTTAATCTGACTTCTTTCTGAAGCATTCATCTTCCTAGTTAGAGTTTTCAGTAATTTTATGTACTTTATTAAAGAAGATCTATGCAACACAAACTGCTTCAGTATGAACCATTAGGTAGCTTACTATCAGGATTGTTCTGAAGGTGAAGAGTAAACAGCACATGGTTTGACAGCTGATGGTAAAGTTATTTTAGAGGTTTTGATCAACCTTAGTGATAATCAGATTAAGCTGGAGTTTGTATATGACAGAGTAACTTCAGAGATGAAATATTAGTCCTTTTATACTTGGTCCCAGGTACTACTGTGCTCTTGTGGTCAAGTTGCTCTATATGATTGTAATAATCAAGTAAGACCTCTTAGTAAAAATCTAGTGTAGCATGTTGGATTCTGAAGTGCTGAACCACATTTATCTGTCAACAAAAGTACTGAATTTTATGTCAGTTACTTTTCAATAGCCCTGTTAATGGGAAAAGAGTTTGGATACCTGTGTGCTTAGATTATATATCCATAATTTACTCATTTTCAAATATGCATATATATGTTCTTAGGTTTTTATTCAGCTTTTTGAAGTTGCATCCTAACTCTTGTGGTGGTTTGTTTTGGTTTTTTTGTTTTGTAAAATACTGTAGGTATGTGGGCAAAGATTATTCTTCTGCCCAGGAGCAAATGGAAGATGACATGAAAGCATACTATAGTCAGAATAGTAAAGTGTCACTAGCTCAATCTTTGAGCGTTGGGCAACTTGTTGCAGTACATGCTGAAGAAGATGCCTGGTTGCGTGCTCGGATAATTTCTCTAGAAGACAACAGAATAAAGGCAAGCAATTACTTCTTTTGGCACTTGGATAAAGACTTGGAACAATCTTGGCTTTTAGATATACAGTCAATTCTAAATTTGCTGCTCTTAGGGTTTTAATATGGGGCTTAGCCTTACAGCACTTGTGTGCTGAAATGTACCTCTAATAAGTCTTGCACGGAATGGATGTAATAGCACTATTTGGAGTGGTACAGAGGAAGGAAAAGGAAAGAACAGAATCCACTTGCTGGTAGATGTTGTTTGAAGTCTTACACTGAAGTTATCTATTACATGCACTAGATAGCAAGACAATTAGAAACATACTTGTGTTCCCTTCTGTGTGGATCTTGCAGCTCTGGGAGTTATAGGTAGATTATGTAACTCTTGTGTTACACTTTCCTGGGCCAAATAGACTGTACTTGCCGTTTGCAATGAAACCTGACCATACAATAGAACTTTCAAACTCATCAGTTATTTCTTGCTAGTCAGACATTTAATGATAACTTTTCATATTTTGTTTCTTCCCCGAGTTACATGACTTTTTACTCAGGTCTGCTTAATGTACTTCTAAAGTTGATCCAGTTCATAAATATTTAAATAGCACATGTATTAGAATGGACAGTTTTCTAAAGATTAGTGTGATACCCTTCAGCTGGAACTTGGAGGGGAGTGTCAGAACTCAGTTCTGTGAAACATTGTTGGATTTAGAGAAGTGTCAAGGACAATTGGTAGTATGTCTGCCTCCAATTTCTCTCTAGCTAGAACTGTCAGCCAAAAGAAAGCTACTGCTTTATTGCAGCGTTTGCTGATTATCCTCTGATGCAGTGTTCAGGCTCCCTTTTCAAGTTTGTTATGCATGATACAGTTTAGAAAAAAAGTTGTAAAAAGCCCTGTCAAAGCCTTCTTTCACTTCAGCTCTAATTATTTGCTGCCAATCAGCAGTTTCCTTACTGGTTTCCTGCATTGGCTATGGTATTTTTATCAAAGTTACTGTAAGCATAAATCAAAATTATTGTCTTTATAGTGTAAAAGCAAAATGCAGAACGTAAAATGGCACTTAAGTGGTGCTTGACTTTTCAACACTTTCAACAGTTTACAAATTACTTGAGGTAATTTGTGCTGTTCCAGTACTGTTCCTACTAAAAGCTGAGATTCCATGGAGCAGTTGGAGAGGATGATTTTTCAGAGATCTTGAGAACAGAGATCCCTGAAAATACAAAACATTCAAGCAGTGAAATAAATGTGAGCTAAATGGTGTTGCATAGTAACAAAGTGATTTGCTTGTGGCTGCACAGAGAATGTGGTAACTGAGTACATTTCCCCTGGACTCAAGAAAACATCTTCAATTGTATTTGTGATCTTACGCTTTTATTCCCTTTTTCATTATCAGGTATGCTATGTTGATCATGGCTTCAGTGACTTTGTTGAAAGCAGCAGTGTGTACAAACTACAGAAACAGTTCCATTCACTTCCATTTCAAGCTGCAAAATGTAAACTGGCAGGTAAGAGAAAGCCAGTGTTGACTATAGAGCTTCCTGCTGCACAATTTACAGATTGAAACACCTGGGAGTTATGATCCTTGTTCGTAATACCTCTATATATGTTAGATTTTGTTCAAGACAGCTAGTCTAAACAGATGCAGGTTGGCATGGAAAGGAAGGCAAAATAAGGAAGAAAGGAAGGAAAATTAAGAAAGGAAGGAGGGAAAGTAAGGAAGGAAGAAAGGAGGAAAGGAAGCGAAAGGAAGAAAGGAACGTTTTATAGAGAAACCTTGATGTTAGAATACATGTATTTCTGTAATAGAGCTTAGTTGTTTCTGCACTTGGCTTGGATGTCTTTTATCTGTGTAATATATGCGAGAAAAATAAGGAAATGGTTGCTGTTATGTGAAGCAATATATTAGCACAACTCCTTTTTTGCACAAACGAGGCGTATCTGTTGTAGCCAGGTCAGGCAGTACTCCTAAATATGATCCTATTGTAGAGTGATCCTTATCTTTTTAGTACTTGCATATTTGCAGACTTCCTAGACTCTACTGGAAATTATTTAGCTTCCTAAAGCTGGTAGGCATTTCTGATTTTTTAGAAATATTTTATTTTAAATATATAAAATTGCCATGAATTAGCTTGGATTTTGTTTGTTTGTTTTAATATTTGGATGCATTCCTTTTTTCCCTGCACATTTGCTTTGACTCTTTCTGAAGAGGGTCTTTTTCTTTTTTTTTTTTTTTTTTTTTTTATTCCCTGGAGGTGGCTTTCTGTCTTAAAAGGGTGTAAACTGAGCAGAATACAAGTAGCGGTGCAGTACAACTGTCCTGCTACATCCTGATTCTTGAAAAGATTCCTGTTGTGAGTACAGACCTGATCATTATTTTTCCTTTTTAGTAAAGTGATACATAGAAAGTGCTGTGTGTTTTACAGGACTGGAAGTCTTCTGTGATGATCCTGTCTTAGTGAAGGCTGTGGAATTGCAGACATGCTCCAAGATATTTGCTGTGGAAATACTGGAAAAGAGTGACATTCCTCTTCTTGTTCTCTATGACACTTCTGGAGAAGATGATGTCAACATCAATGCTACTTGTCTGAAGTCATTGTATGACAAGTCTCTTGAATTCCACCTACAGGTACCATTTTCCTGTTTCCTTCTAAATTCATTAAAAATCATTGACTGCTAAGGTCTTGAATGGACAAAACACTCAGAAATTTGCTGTCTGTGTATGCGGTTTGCCCCCCAACTTTCTTGTCAAAATCTTACCGTTGCAGGTAGATGCACTGTATAGACATGTCAGAGTAACCAGCGTTTTCTCTGATGGAAGCCTGTATTGCCAAGTGCCATCTAAAGGCATGTCTAGACTTTCTGAAATCTTGCAGAAACTGGAAGACTATTTCCGTTACAAGGTAGGTTCTATGGTGAGAGAAGTGGCAAAGTCATGTAGCCTTTCTTCAGAGTGTACCAGTAATTTTCCTTGCAGGTAAGTTGTACTGAGGTAGCAATGGACTATTTTAAAAGGCTACAGATTCTCTTTATATTTTTTTGGGAGAGCATCCATCAGTTTAAAAGGTGTCTTTTGATAATGTTCACAAGCTGTCTTCAAGGCTTGAGTAACTTTATGACTTCCCCTGAATACTTAGAACAGTAACAATATGGCTCGTAATGGGAAACTCCCAGTGGAAACTGCATCAGATTTCTACAAAGCCTGTGGAGACCCTGCTATGTTTTTTTCTGGAAGTTTTACTTAATGTGGTAGGGTTAAGGCACATAACCAGCCTGGCCCACAGCACAGCGTGCAAAGTGACAATAAAAGCAATGTAACCAAGGTCTGTCCTCTTTGGCCTGGCTTCCTTGGAGATTCAGTAGCTTTGATCTGATCTGTTGCATACCTTGTCTTTGTACCTTAGCTTTTGAATGTTCTGATTAATTTCAACTAGAACAGATGCATAGGAGTCATTTTTAAAAGTCTTAAGTTGCTTTAAGATAGGCATGTGTCAGAGAAGTATGACATTCTACCAGCCATTTACAGACACATACAACAAACCCTAGTGGACTCAAGAGACTTTATACAAAAGAGAAGAGAATCTAATTTGTTCAACATGCAGCTGAGCCATGAAATGCAGAGCTTTAAAGGTCTGTTAGAACTGCTGCTTGTAAAACCAGGTATAGAAGTTGAGCTTTAGACCTGTTGTGGAGCACACACCATCTGGAAATACTTTGTTGAACGTGCCTAAGTTATCAAGATACAGTTTCTAGTAAGCTAAACGCTTAAGGAGGGTGTAGAGAGTTCTGATTGTGTTGAACAACACAAAGGTAGGCAGCCAATTAGGTATTTCAGAAGCTCAGTTTTCTGGACAGAGTGTATGTTAGGCTCTTGTTGCTATTAAAGAGAGAACTTGACTCAGAATCTTTAATATCTATCTCTCTATGAGGGTGAAAAAAGCAATCTTAACATTGCAGCTTGTCACGAGGGGTTTTATCTTGCCTGAGAATTTAAGCAAACTAAGGTATTCATGGGTCTTCATATGGAGTTTATTCATGTTTTGTGTAGTGTAACTATTCTCATGTTATTTAGGAACACTGTGGTGAATGTCACCCCCATAAGACTTTCATTTGAGTTGGTATTAAATATCTCAACAAATGTGTTCCAGAATACAAGGTAGGAGTTTTTCCTGTTGTTTATCGCAGCTCTGAGCTGCTCTTGCTTTTTGGAACACTGAAGTCATGGTCAGTAATTTTGTATTTTGTGTTTCCAAATCTGGCTTGTTTTCCCTGACGGTATATATTTTCTTAGTTTCTCAGTGTAAGACACAGCTTGGAGTGAAAGCTTTATTGACTGGGGAAGCTTAAAACATGCTAAGAAATGCTTCTGAGGATGGAAGGAGACTTTATATTTGAAACAGTTTTTGCTTTACAGAACAGTTTATTCCATGTGTGGCTTTAGAAATGGTTAGTGGAATGTCAGATAGTAATAGCTCCATGCTTTTTATCTTCTGTTTTTATATTTGCAGCAGACATCTGAGTTTAATGTATCGCTTCCTTTCTGTGGCAAAATCTGCTTGTTTCCTTCTAAAGGAAAATGGGCACGTGTAGAGGTAAGAAGTATTCAAAGAACAGCTACAGTTTTCTCACATACAGGTGGCTCTTCTTTTCGTTCAGTTAAATCTGAACCCTTAGTTTCCATGAAATTTCCTATTGTGTATGTGTCCTTGTGTTTTTAGCCTCAAGATTATACTCTTGCTTTCTTCTTTCAGATAAGAATTATTCACACTAGACGGGCACTTGATGTGCAGTTCATGGATACTGGAACAGTTGCAACTGTAAAAGTATCAGAGCTTAGAGAAATCCCACCACAATTCCTGAGAGAAGTAATTGCAATACCTCCTCAGGTATAAAGGCGTCTTAAAGCTAACCTGTGCTGGATCTCTTTGCAATGTTTGTAGTGCAGCTTCTTTAAGGTTTATGAAATTAAATTTTGTTTTGTTTAATAGCATTCAACATTGGGGTGTATTTAGTTGTGCATCTTTGCCTGAAATACATCATAATGTAGTCCTGTGTATTAACAGAATGCTGTGTATGTGTAATGGTAATGGTTTTGCATGTTTCTCTGTCTCTGTCAATATATTATTGAATCTGTCAGAATTAATGAAGTTTATGTGAAAAAAAATGTGTGGACTAGTTTCCTATTACTAAATTTTACTTTCTGTACTTAACTCTGTTCTTAGGCTTTAAAATGCTGCCTAGCAGATTTACCTCCTAACACTGGCATGTGGACTCCAGATGCTGTACTGTGGCTGAGAGACGCTGTAATGAATTGTCCTGAATTTAGCATGAAGGTAAACAGTCAAAGGGCATGTGTGACTTGAAATCCATAAGCATGTGGAAAGAGAATTGAAAGAACAACTCCAGAAGTTTAACCAATCATCAATTAATTTTGTTGTAGAAGTTAAAAAGTTTATAGTGAGCTCCTGGACATAAATTCTATACCAAGTCCTTTTCTTAGGACATTTGGAAGAAAATTTACTTGCTTAAGCCTGCTAAAAGCTTCTCTTTCCCCTCTTTTCACATTATCCTTTCACATTTTGCTGTCCCAGTCCAAATACACAGCTACAGTTATTTTGCCAGCTGGTAAGAAGGAAACACATTTGGTAATGTTTCACCACGGAAAAACATACAGCTGTTGAGTTAATCGTATTTTTATGCCTCCTGTGACATAGCTTTTTCTCCTTCTGGTCTTGGAAAGCAGCTTTATTCTTTGTTTGGTTTTTTTCTAATCCAGTGTGATTTAGTATACGCTATTGTATACATAGAATTCCTGAAATTATCCTTGAGATAAAATTATTTCTGCTTGCAATGTATCCTATCAGTTTAATTAACTGTAAACACCCTTCTAAAGGAAATCTGTTAGTAGCTACAGACTAAACAAAGCTAATTTCCTCTTAAAAATCTGATTCTAAATACTGTCACAGCACTTTGAAAAGTTTTGTAGCTCTCACTACCTTTTTGCTTGCTTTAACACTGGAGACCATGTAGTTAAAACATTGCTCCTCTAATCTGGGATTTACGACTGTTGCATCTGGCTTTTCTAAACATACTCTTCCAAGATCATTTGGGTTTGTTACTAATTTTTGCTTGATTAAATAATAGACAACAGTTGTATGGTTAAATTATGGAAAGTTTTTATTCCTGGCTGGGAAAATCAACAGAATAATCTGTATAGCTGCAAATGCTGTTTTTTAGCTGTTGCTTATTATCCTACAACTTCATTAACATACTTGAGACAACCTTGAAAATACTTCTGTACATGTAGAATGCATTGAAGTATTGCCACTTTTCTGTTAAAGGCTTTAGTCTTCTGTACAAAATCAGACATGCATTTAATAGTTATTAACTGGAAGTTAAACTGTATTTTGTTTTCCAAGGTGGTTAAACAGGATGGTTCAAAGGGAATTGCACACGTTTACTTGTTTGCTCCAGAGAATTTCCCAGAGGTGGATCATAGCATAAATCGACAGATCAAAACTGCAGACTTGTGGAGGCATCAGAAAGATGTTTTCTTGAGTGTTACACCCAGTGGCACTAGCTCCCCCAAAATGACAAGTGATGCTGTTTCAGCTCTACGGGTAACTAGTGGGAGGCTGGAGAAGAGTTTCTCAGATTCACACAGAGAACCCAGCAGTGCAGTGTCCATGACTGATATGCCCCCACCTCTACCTTTGTTAAAGACTGGTGAGCTCATGGATGTCTATGTCTCAGTGGCCTGCCATCCAGGTCACTTTATTATCCAGCCTTGGAAGGAGCTACATAATCTGGAAGCCCTAATGGAAGAGATGCTCTTGTACTACAGCCGGGCAGAAGAGAAACCTGTGAACATTGAAAAAAACAAGCTATATGCAGCTAAAATTGAAAATCAGTAAGTAGATACTTACATTAAAAACAAAATCTTTGAAGGAAAGCTTACCTCTTCTAAGCTACACAAGCCTAGCTCTGCTTTGTCCACACTGTTAGCAAGATGACCGATGTTCAGTGATACTGAGGGATTATGGGAGTAAATGAGGTTGCAGTCTCTTCCATGCTTCCAGATTTTAACTGGAATGGTTGACTCTGATTCAGATGATACCAGATCTGAGAAGCCTCAGACATATTGGTTAAGATCTTTTGGTCATGTGTTATTTTTTCTGGTGCCTTGATAGTGTGTGAATATGAATTCAAATTGTCTGTTCCTGTTCTCTCCCTTTTTAGGTGGTACAGGGTTGTAATAAAAGGAATTCTTAGGAATGGGTTTTTGTCGGTGTATGAGCTGGACTATGGTAAACATGAGTTTGTCAGCGCAGAGAAAGTACGGCCACTTGTGGATACATTCAGAAAGCTACCTTTCCAAGCTATAACAGCTCAGCTCGCAGGTAGGTAGTAAGCATTGACAACTTTTTTTTTTTATTTTTAATTAAAGTCTTAACATCAGTGGGGATACCAAATGAACAGAAATGTTCAAGTGGACAAAGCCAAAGGTTAGTGATGAACCTGGGGTTTTTTTGCTAAAGTAAGAAAAGAACTTACTTTCAAAGACATGCTTAATGAATACGTTTGTCATTAAAGTAGCTCTGCTTTTCTTCCTGACATGCGTGGTGATGATTATTACTTGTTTACTTAAATGCAGCAGTTTTAGTTACCATGAATAAAACTGAAGATTTCTTTAACAGCAGCTGCTTTTCATTGTCATAAATACTTATTGCTTATTGTGTGTGATTTCTAATATGCAAGGGACACAGGGACATCAAAACTAAATGTTACTTGGATCCTTAAACATAACCTATTACAAAGTGTGAAAGTTATGATACACCTGTAGATAAGAACTTAGGTTCTTATTATCTTAATCTACATAAATTTAGGAACAGGATGCTGAGTTTCTGGAGAAGTTTTTCCTATGTATCTTGCCCCTATTGTAATTTACTGTTTTCCAGTGCATATTTGGAATCCAAAATATATTGGTATTCTCAAACAAACAAGCAAAAAATTCCACATGGGGGTGAGGGCCTTCAACAGACTTAAGTAAGATTAATTTCCTTGAGAATGTGGGGCACAGAGAGTGTGCAGACATCTGATAGAATTAAAAAAAAAAACAAAACTTGATCTCTGTTTCATGTCCTTTCCTTCTTTTTCTAAATTTTTCTTTCATTTCTGCATTGCTTTCAGTTGTATTTCAGAATGTCTCTCATTGCTGCTTTCTGCCACTGTTTGGTCAGCGCTAGTTTAGTCTTCAGTTACAGTATAAGCTTGCCTGAAGTGATAGGCCACAGGGCTGGTGCTCTGATTTAGGTTCCTTTCTGTGGATCTGCTTTCCTGCATAGCCTCTGGTGTGACCTTGAGAGGTTTTTAAACTAGTGACAATGGATGTGTTACCAACAGGCTGGGGTCCTAGGAATGCATTGCTGAAATGAAGCTGATTTCTAGCTGTATCTGTCTACTGAGCTAGTACAGGATCCATCTGAGCAAGCCTGCAGGTCATCCAGTTTACCTGCTTCACAGAATTCCAGGTAGCTAGTTAAGTTGGCCTCTGAGCTGATTCATATTACCAAAGCACGCCAGCTAAGTCTGGAAGACTGGTAACTATTATCTTGCTATTCTTTCACTTTTTTCTCTTTTTTTTTTTTTTTTTTTCTTCATGTCTGCTACTTCTCAGTCTCTGGTCAGTTTCCTTGTAAAATACCATAAGCTTCTCCACCAGCCTTTTCTAGCACTAATTATGCTTACTTAACTGTTGACTTCTCATTCCTCCTGTAACCTGCAAGGAGCTGTGTGCCTGTGTTGCCCTGTCCTATCAGCAGCAAGCTGCTGCTAACAGTAAAAGGGAAGTGTTGTCACTTTGCTATTTTGCTTCTTTTACCTTAAGTTACTGCTTGAGTATCCACGCACAATATTTGAGTGCCTTTGTGTCTAGATGCTGCACACCAGCAGTGGTCTGGGTAGACTGAATTTCATGTCTGCAGGAGCCACTTCTTTCTTGGTGGATTTCAGCCCTATTAAAAAACCTGTTTGGGTTCTAACATTACATTCCTTAACAGAATTGACCTTGTGGAGTGCTTCTTTCAGAACAAAAAAGTAGCAGCAGTTGTGAGGCATTTAGGTGGCACTTCTCTTTGTTTCTGCTCCCTTCAGATCTAGTTTGGTACTTGATGGTTTAGCAGATGTTTTTATAGCTGATGCTGCTTTGAGGTAAAGAAAACTTCATCTAAAGCAAGGCCAACAGAACAAATAATTTCAGCACCGTCAGGCAGAAGACAAATTGTTTGTTTTGAAAGGACCTTTAGTTTCCTCTGTGTCTTATTTCCTGATGTGCCTTGATCATGAATGACAGCTGATATACATTGGATTACTCAGTGCGTCAGTGCATTTGCCTTTCAGTTCTGCAAACCTGTCCACATCTTCAGACTTCAAGAAAAAATTCTAGTCTGTGTAATAGATCAACTTGTTTGTGCGGGAGACAAGTGAGTTTGTATTTCTTTTTGGAAGCTAAGCTGCATTTAGTACTGCTTGAACACCTGTTTTCTCAAGTATTTAAACTCCCCCCACTTACTTACGAAGTTAATCATTCAGATTGGTTCGGTTCATAAACGGTCTCTTTTGCTTATTTTTGTCTTAGGAGTGAAAAGCCAGCAGTGGTCAGAAGAGGCATCAATAGTGTTTCGGAATCTTGTAGAGAAGAAACCCTTGGTGGCACAAATACAGGCAGTTAACGAAAGCACTAACTCTTGGGATCGAAAGATAGTGACTTTTCTTGTGGACACATCTCTTCCGGATACTGATATTTGGATTCATGATTTTGTGTCTGAAAGTCTTGTGGAATTTTCAAAGGATGATTAATCATCACTTCTGAAATGTAGCAGCTCAGATTCGTTAGCAATAAAATAAATAACAGGCTTTGAAGAGAAATATAACTATTATATGGCCTTGAAGACATGAAGGTGATGAAAATTAAAAATCTGTGTTCTGTGAAAATGGTTCAAGTTTAGGTTCTTTTGACTTCAGCCGCCTTTCTGACAATTTGCACTTTGTTTACCATTGTAATGCTAGAATGTTTGGGTGAAAATATTAAAAAGTTATTTATCAATAAAAGAATGTTGACTTTTGTTCATGTGACCTTTCCCTAAATGGGGGAGGGAGATGTTTTTTATCTCATAGCTATTACTCAGAGTAATTACAGGGTACTCCTCCCTTCTACTTTAACTAGCATTTTTATTACTTGGCAAACATGGAAGCAGTCCTTGGTATTTCTAAATTTAGTGTCTGAGGCACGCATTGGTGCATTTCTCCTCCTTCCTTAACTTTTCATAAGAGTTGAACAGTTGAAAGTGCCTTGTTTGCTAGACTGCATTAATGGGGCTTAACCTCCACAGAAGGGTATGCACTTTGTGTGTTTACTAGTCTGCTTGCTGTTCTTTAGCAATGATGCCACTTTTCTGAATTCTTCACTTCCCTCCTCACCCCACTCCCCCATCCAGGTGCTAAATTAAGGCATTCCTTTCCTTCCTTTTTGATAGCTCATTTTCATGTATACTTCTGAGAAACTTTCCAGGACCACTGCTCCCTGGAGACAGGCGCAAGCAATGTCCTTTGAGCATGTGGATCGGTGCTTAAAGTGCTCTGAACATGGTATTTTCGGCCTACTTTAGGGCCTACTTTATTTTTGGCCTTAGAAAAATTTAGAGGAGGTGTAGACATGATTATGTTTCATAGTCTGCTGCCTAGATTTGAGTTTATTTGCCATAGTCCCTTAAAATTGTTAGAGTATTAAAGCTTTAGACAGTGAATGCCAGCAGAAGGAATTTTTCTTCACAGCTCTATGATCATAGCTATATGATCTTTCCAGTAATACATAAGCTGAGCTAAGAAATTCTGCTGGCATGCTGTCTGCATGGGTAAAGGGGGCTAGGTGGAAAGGGAACTGGAAGGTGCAGACCGTATGTAACATTAGAATGAGAGAAGTTCATGCAAGTACTCTAAGTAAACAAGCTGCGTAAGCACAGAAGACTTAGATTCGCACCCTCATGGACTAATTCTGGTGTAGTTCTGGAGATGCTCTGAGGTCATCAGCAAGGAGTCCTCCTGGAAGCCTGGCAGGTGTCTCTCTGCGTGGACTGTACACAGGATATAGCAGAGCCCTTGTGAATATACCAGCCAGCGATAAACTAAGAAACTGCTAATCTAAAGGAATTTGGTAGTTAACATGGTCCTGTCCACATTTAAGTGTGCTGAGGTGAGACATTCAAGTGTACTTTTTGAGAGAGATTACATTAATGCCCAAAATACCAGTATTATTCCATTTTAATGAATTTCTCCTTCCTCAGCTGAAGGTGAAGCATGAAGGCAAAGGAATCAATGTGACGATGAACTGCTGTAGGATAAATTTCCATGCAGAAGCTTCCTTCTGTGTAGGACTGCTTCAGAGCCTGAAGATCTGAATAGTGGAGGTCATTAGGATGAAGTAACCTGGGAACAGACAGAGCAGGTTTTGGGACCCTACACCTGCAGTGTTAGGGGAAGGACCCTCACAGATGCTCAGGGTGGTTTTTGAGCTTGTCTGCTCTTTCTGAAGTATGCCTCACCCCCCCTCCCCTTGGTTGTCCGTGGCTGCTTCAGAGTCTAAAACACCCCAGTGAGAATCAAAGACAATATTCATACAGTCTCAGGCATTTGCACAGCTCAGTACTGGAGTTCACGTAGGCAGCTTTGTGTGGGGGTAAAACAGTGCACCATCTCCATGTGGTGAGTCATTTTATGCACGCATTGAGCATACATCCAACCCCAAGTTAGTAACACAAGGCTGCGTTCAGTTCACATGCTGTATCCAGAGGCTGCATTGTCTCCCTGTCCTCACACCCACTACCCCCTACCACCCCTGTTCTAACTAGCTCCATTACTAGTGCATTACACTACAGGTGCTGTGCTGCTAGTTACTGACTGTCCTGGTTCCTGCTAGGGTATTGTTAATAAACTGTTTCAGCCCAAACTAGCACATTTAGCTACTGTCTCCTTACCCCCTCTGGGATTTTAGTTGGAGAGCTATGCTTTTACACCTGCTTTTAACGTTGGTTTCTCACCTGGTTGACCAGCCTGTAAGTTTCTGATAGATTTGTTACCTGCTAGGGCTGTTTGAGTATATTTTGTGCTCTGGCTTTGAAAAAATGTGCAGAGAGTGTTGGCTGTACACCAGTATTAACACTTTGACTTTGTTGAGGTTCGTGATCCATGAAGTAGTTAGCATAATTAGTAGTGCTAGGAGGCATTAGACCTGCCTGCTCTGTGCAAGCTGTGAATTCACACAGAATGCTGTGTGGTTTTTAACTTCAGTTTTAATGTTTTTGGGGTTGGTTGTGAACAGTTTCTCTGCTGTCATGAATGCATGGGTGCTTCTAGTGTCTCAGTTACGGCTTCATGTGATCTTTCCATTTCAACAGCTATTAGAAAGGCCTCCCCAGGAACCCTGCATGCAGTTCTGTGTGCTGTCATACAAGAAAGATGTGGATTAATTTTAGAGAGTCCAAATGAAAGCAAGAACAATGAAATTCTAGAAAACCTCTCTTAAATTAAATGATTTTGGGTAGAAGGCTAAGGAGAGTAACACAAAAGTTTTCACTCAAAAAGAATCTGCATTTGTATGTAGGGAAAATAGGACACCTAAGGGTTTGAGTTGCCTGGAAATTCACTGGAACTCCAGTTTCATTATAAATGCCAAAACCAGGTAGGATATATCTGTAGAAACCTCCCTTGGCTGTGGAGACGGAATCTGTAATCGTTGGAACCCCATCCAAGATAGGAGAAGGCAGCATTGTTAGATGTGTCTTGTGGATCACTGTGAATTTTATAAACTGGAAAATAAGCATGTGTTACCTAGGGGAAACAGACAACACTGACATAGTTGAAAAGCCTAAGCAGATCTCTTACATTCCCAAGGCTGTGGAGAATAGGCTCTTTCAAACCACCTCTTTTCTGTTTATTCTGCCTCAGCTGTATTTGTTAGGATTACAAAGGTCACCAGTTTTCATCTCCAGTGTTTTTATGCCACATCAGTTGAAGAGCTCTGTCAGAGAACACAATCACAGAATTGTTGTGGTTGGAAGGGATCTCTGGATAAATGCAAGAATGCTCTTTTCCATCCCAAAATGAGTTCCTATCTCCAACGTTTCCACTCCTGGACTACTCTTTTCCCATTTTGGTAGACTTTTGTTGCAAAGCTCTCTTGTATGTGTGTCCTTTGTTCTCACAGTAGCTGTGCATCAGGCAAAACTTCTAGAGCCTAGATTCTCATGTGGTGATCGTGTTAGACAAGGGAAGTCAAAAAGAATCATGCAGTAAAGCCCCCTTACTTTAAATGTTCACCATGACTGAAAGCTTCATTCTGTGTTCATTTGTTCATGGCGGTATTTTCGGACTGGAAGTCTTGAACAGAAGCTGTCCTGCTCTGTGAGGTTAAACATGGCATGGGCAGGGGAGTTTTCTGACCTGAGCGGGCACGTTTCCAGTGTGCTGAGCTGATGCACTCTAGTGTGTCTCGAGAGCTGTTTTGAAGAGAGGCTTAGGTGTAGTTGGAGTTAGCAGTACTAAGTGTCTTGTGAACAGGGCTGCAAGGTGTGTTACTTGCAGTATTCATAACTACCATGTGTTATGGCAGGCAGATAGAAAAGAAGGATCACTGATACTTACACTGAAAACAAATGTGCTGAGAACCTGGGTTAATGTCTTGCTTAATGGAGACAGGCTCAGTGCGTCCTAAGGGGAGTGCAGCACCCACCTTGGATGAGATTCTTGTGCCCACAAAGCTAGACCTGAGCAGCAGACAGATGGGATAAAAATGAAGTGTCTTGTGCATACCTCAGAGAGCAGTGCCAACATGGGCATGTAGGGAAGCTTGGTGGTGCTAGTGAAACCCTTCCAGAGCTGGTCACAGCTTCCACATCCTTGAGAAAGACAGTTGGCAAGCAGGTAGTGTAGATAGTGGCATCTGGGTTTATCTGATCTGGTATCCATTGAGCTGCTTCAGCTTTAAGTGACTTAGACATTTGTGCCAGGCAATGGGTGAATTGGGTGGCTCCAAGTGCCCTTTTCACTGCTGCTGGAAGCTGGGATGATGCCAGCATCTAGGGCCATAATCCTGCTCATATCTGCCAGGCATGCACCGAACCCAGTGCTCAGCAGGGTTCCCATTTCTATCCTTCATTTGGCCCAGCTGTGAGTGGTTTTCCAGGGTTAACCACATGTTGTTCTCCAGACACCACAGACAAGGAATCTCAGTGCCGGGCAGATCAGCGGTATGACAAGATGTGGAAAAAAAAGCCAGGTACCATCTCATGGAGACTGGGGCCATTTCAGATGAAGGGCATTACTGGACCTGGGAAGTGAGAAGTGTTAATGGGGACTGACAGGCCTGGGACCCTCTCTGCTATTGGTGTGTGGCTGCTGGTGGAGAACAGACAGCAGAGAGAAGGAGAAGCTTGGGACTGACACTTTATGGGAGAGTTATTAAAAAAGATTGTAGGACAAATCCAGGAGGCTTTATGGTGACTCAAAGGTGAGAGAGGGGACAGGAGATTTAGCAGCAACGCTGTTAAAACTGTTGGCACCATGAGGCTGGAAGGCTGACGGCAGGCTTGGAGTTGCCCTAGCGGGTGGCTGTCACTAGACGTATGGGGCAAACTGACAGGGAGTTAAAGTAGGATGTGGAATTAGTAGGTGCATTGATACAGATGGCATCTGTGGGATAAAGTGCCCATGCAGCCCCAGTCCCCCAGCAGCGTGTGTGGCTGGGCTTGGTGTGGCTGAGCTCCGAGACCCCAGTGCTGCGAGGAAGGAGCCTCACGGTGCTCCCAGCAGCCCGTCCCCACGAACGGAGGCGCGCACGCCTTAAGGCGCTTTGCAGAGAGAGGCACCTGGCTCGGCGCTCCGAAGGAAGTTTGCTGCGGGACAAGGGGCAGGCGGCGGCGTTAGCCCCGTTAACAGCAGGGCAGACCCTCTGGAAGCTAACTAACCCTGCCTGCGCCGTGCGGGGTCGCCTGCGCGCACCGCGCCCGTCGCTCCGAGAGCGCTGTGCAGGCGCGGGGTCAGCACCCGCGGCGGGGGCCGAGACGGGCA